AATTAAATGTCATATCACCATGGTTCAAAAATTTTCAAACTCAACTGAATATGTTAAAACACATATTTAATTAATTTAATTAAGCTGTAATGGCCTAGGCCAGACTCTGACAAAGTAATAATAAAAGGAATCATTTGTTTAGATTGTCTTAAAATACAAAACAGAATCTGAATAAAGATCAGTTTAAGTAGGTTCAGATATTTCTCTGGAGACAAGGGAAAATTGGGATTTCATTATATGAATTTTCTCTGGTTTCATATATTCAGAAGAAATAGAAGGTGATTCAGAACTTGGTTAGACCCTAAAATTATAAATAAGTAAGATGAATGAGAACTATTCTGGAAATGTCAGTATCAAGTGAGAAACTTTCGTCTGCTGACAAAGAAATACTGGGAGATAATTAACAATTGGAAAGAATCCAGTTTCAAAAAGAGCAAACATATGGTAACTGTAGTGTGGATATTTTATACAAAGAGAATTGGCGCTAAAGCCAAACTTGTAGATTGGTGTTTCTCAACCTTGGCAACTTTAAGATGAGTGGACTTCAATTCCCAGAATCCCCCAGCCAGCATGGCTGGCTGGGGAATTCTGGGAGTTGAAGTCCACTCATCTTAAAGTTGATAAGGTTGAGAAACGCTGTTGTAGATAAACAATTAGATCATGTGAGATTATGGTGTTAAAATAGAAATAGCATATTGTATTAGAATGGCATATGTATAAATGATAGGATGAATTTATGGAAAACGTATCAAGTTTAACTGAATTTTGCAGTAGTTTCCTGCTTTTCAGTAATATGATTTAACGATTCATAAAGATTATCCTGTTATTGTATTTCTTTTTCTACTGAAGAGACATGAGTTTGTTAAGTTTGATTTTACGACAAAGTTTCTTAGGGACTATGTACGTTTAGGGAGTTAGAATATATTGTTTATAAATAAACAGAACAGCAGATTTCAAAGATGTCCAGGCTTAGGAAACCACCTGTGGATGGCCACATATTGACTGATTCTCTATAGTTGCAAAGGAGCACAGTTGAAGGTCACGGTGGAAGTGTGAATTATTTAGCTAAAATTATACTTCAACCTGTCAGACTTCCAAGCCACAGGACCTAACCTGATCCATCAAGTACTGACTAAATACTACTTTGGAGTTCCATAAAGGCCAGAAAGAAGAAAACAGTGGGTGTACCCAAACAGGAACAAAGTGAAATTCAGAGCGCTCAAATTTGTAGTGAAAATTGAGGCTTTTTTCCCTAGCAGGTGCGAAGTCACGCTTAGGTCCCACTGATGCAAATCATTGTTTGCAATTTCAGGATTATTGGGTTTCTTTATACAGATTTATCCAGTACATTCTGGGATATTAGAAATTAACTTAATCCTTAGAGCAGAGCAGATCTAAAAATAATATTATTCATAATGTTATGCCTTTCAGCACAGGGACATTCAGTAACATTTCTGATTTTAAGTATGAGTATGAATGTTAAGTCAGTATTTAAATGAGAAAATTACCATTTGTATCTGTAAAAAAAAAAAAAGCTGTGTCCATTTCTTCTATAATGTTAATTTCTACTGCATGGCGCATCATCTTACAAATGGGTTTGGACACTTGATGTGCTGTCAGTGATGCTGTTTAGACACATTGTATGCAATTAGTACTAGAGGTAAATTTGATAGTTTTTTTTTTTTTTTAAATCTTGGAAAAGGTTTCTTCCTGGTGCAACTTTCATACAGAATCTTTAAACGTATAATTATTCTTGAAGGAGACATTTCCCCTAGTGTTCTAAAATCCATTATATTGCAGCTGTTTGGGATTCAATCAGATTCAAACTTTTTGGCCCATGTGCCAAAAAGGCTAGAAGGAGTGTGTATAACTAGTGTTTGCTACACTACCTCTCCTCAACTCCTGGTGTATTGTTGTGTTAAATCACCTAAACAAAGGAACTGGAAGTAGCATTGCATTGCATACCGTGGGAGTTGGAATCGTGGATTTGCTGTCATAGTGATGCCCATTCTCTTTCTTCTGTACAGGAATGTCACTTTCCCCCCCATGTCATTTGCAGGATGGCTCCAAGCTATCTGGTCTCCTATGATATATTATTTGGTTTTAGAGGACTTGCTGAAATGAATACATAGTTAATTTCTCTGAGCACTTTGCGTGTTTTAAATAGAAATAGCCATGTTGGCTGGCAGCAGAAACAGCAAATGTTTTTGCAGCATCTGAAGGCTAACACATTTAAGGTGACATAGGTTTTTGTAGACTACAGCCACTTCAGCAGATGCATTTTTGGTTTTGGTTTTGCACATTTTTGCAAGAAAATGCGCTTCTGTTTGGGGTAAGACTCTGTTGTTCCTATCCTGTGTTTTGAGAGTGTGATTTTGAGAAGAAGGCAGGTGTCAGCCCCACTAGCTAGGCCAGACCATGAAATCAACTTCACAGGAAGGCTAAAATGATAATGATAATACAGTAAGAGATTGGCCATAATAGCAGAATCTTCCAGATCTGATTGTGCTTACCTCCTCCCCTTCTTATACTTCAGTGAATTAGGGAGGTGTCTCTCCGAGCCCCTTCCAAACATTATCAGGCTGTTCTGGACTTTAAAAATGCTTCAATCCCTTTTGGTTAGGCAACAGCTTCTGCATATGTCCATCAAGATAATCTATCATACTCTCTGCAGTGGTGAGGGGAATAGTTGAAAACTGGTTTCTGTATACAGTATTTGATTAAGCTTAATATGTCTTCTAATTGTTGCTAGGTAAATGTTCAACTGCAGACTGCCTTTTTTTTTCCTTTCACATTTTGGATAAACTAATAAACATTATTATTTTGAGAGCCAGATTGGTGTAGTGGTTAAGGCATCAGGCTAGAAACCTGGAGACCGTGACTTCTAGTCTCATCTTAGGCACAAAGCCAGCTGGATGACTTTGAGCCAGTCACTCTCTCTCAGCCCAAGGAAGGAGGCAAGGACAAACCACTTCCAAAATCTTGCAGTCGCCAAGAATCAACACTAACTAGAAGGCACCAAAAAACCCCAAAAAACAAATAGAAATAGAAATCAAGCCAGAGTCACAGGCCGTTTGTCATGGTTCTTAAATCCCTTTTGCAGCAGGATTTATATACTCTTGGTTTAAGCAGACATTTAAGAGTGAAGCTTCTTGGAACACACACACACAGCTCTGATCAGTGGCTTGAACTGATATTTTTTAATTACATATTTTAAACTTTGTCAGTACGGTGTCCTGAGAACTTCTCTTTTCTCTTCCCTTCTCTTTCATAGATCTTACTGGAGTGGTGAAACGTAAGGTACATTCCAGCGATGGAGGGGGAGCAACAGCAAGAGGTAAATCTGCAGATTACATTATGGTGTATAGCTGGGAGAAGTACTTCTGCTGGTATATTTAGCAGAGTGTTGTACACAGAAAATGGAAATACCCTAGCAGCATTCCCTAACCCAGCGTTTCTCAACCTTGGCAACTTTATGATAGGTGGACTTCAAGCTGTGCTGGCTGGGGAATTCTGGGAGTTGAAGTCCACCTAACCTGATAAGCTCCAAATGTGTTGAACTAAAGCTTTCATAAGACCCAGCAGGCAGGGTCAAAGTCACTAAGTTGAGGAAGGCTAAGTTAGAAAGATTGACTGTTCTAAAGATAAAGTTATCCATCTACCAGGCCTTGCAAATCAGGTATCAGAGGCTACACTCTTGTATATAGCTGCCCTGCCAGGAACTATAAATTACCAAATCACACATCGTGACAGTGAAATCCCCAAAGGCTCTTCCTTCCACCTTGAGAGCTGTAGCATTATATACTACCGCTCTGCGTTTGTTATTAAACCTTGAGGCATTCATCTGAATAAAAAGATGGTATAAATCTTAGCACTTTTTTAAATAGAACACACTGAATACGGTTACTTTATTTATCACCGACTTGCCTTAAGGAAATAGGATTGTACCCTTGCTTGTCATTTCACATGGAGAAGGCAGGGTGCACTTGATTTCCATCCCGCGAAACTTTAGGGGGCAAACAGCACAATACTGTATTTACATGGAAGGTTGAGAACCATCCATTTAAGGCCATTCACCTCTCAAAGGAAGAAAAAACTCACCTGCCTGCATTGCCATATTCTCGGTGAATTTACAGCTAAAATGTTAATTAAAATGTTATTGTTTCTTTTGGGTCAGCACAGTACACATTTGGAATTGTCTGTGTTCTTCCATTACAGCCTGTTTCCGAACTGTAAAATAATTGTGGTTGTAAGTTAACTTGTTTGGTAGCCTACAACCAATACTAATTGTGAATGAATTTGAGTGGTGTGAACAGAAGTGTAAAAATAATAATTAAAAAACTTTCTCCTTCTGCATTCTTTATTTTTATTCCATATAGATGGCTGCAGAACCAGCACGCTTGCCTAACGCAGAAGGCGATGGGCCAGAAGATGCTTCAGACATTGCACCAAATATTTGTATGTTTTATCCTATTGGAAAGCCAGTTTGCTTCATGAATAGGTCGTCCTTCAAAGCCATTAGCAGTTTTTGTTAGGGCTTCTTGAAGAAAGTTAAGTCTTGCTTACAACTGCTGTAGCATAAAGTGGCTGAGTTTGATGTGTTAGGAAGACTATCAGTTTGGATTAATATGCACATGTATCAGAATAGGAGGCGCATTAGAGAAGGTAGAATAAACCACATCATTTTGTTCTATGTAGAACTGTGATAGATGTGTTCTGAAAGTCTCTGTGTGCAGAACATACTGTTGATAAATTTTTATAACCTCCTTCACCTAAAAACAAACAACCTTATTGCAGGCTTGGCTGGGACCTTTGTTATATATTATTTACTTAAAATAATTTAAAGGTAGAGGCATTTAGAATAATTTTATGTTAGCAGAAAGCTGGTCGGAAGATAGGATTTGATGAGCAATAGCTCCCGTTAGTTTTGCTCTGTCTTTTGAGCTGTTGCCTTCAGTAATCTGGGTTTCGGACCTATTTTGATGGAATAGAATATTTTTATCTAAAAAAAACCAGATAAAATAATGACAGTTTCATCAGTTTAAGATTTCTCAAACTGGCTATAGATAGCTGCTATAAAGGATAATTCCAGAATTGTGGTACTGATGAAGCATTGCTGATTCTGGGCATTTAAGAGCTATGTAGCTCATAGGATGATGAGTCAGCCATCATTTGCAAAGTTTTTGCATTGTAGAGGAAAACGGATGTAAATAAGACTTTATAGTTATAATGTCCTCCTGAACAGAGACCGTGTATTACAGATAATTCTGGTATTCTGCATCTTGATTTAAAGGCTAGGACAGTAAAACAAGATAATTCCTATGGACAGGTAGCTTAGCTTGTTTGATGGTGCTTAAAATTGTAAGTGTTTTATGAAAAATTGCCTGTGCAAACAACAACTCTCCCCAATTTAGTGACTTGGAATAGAGAATGACAAATGTGATGAAGATACATCACCTTGTCTTTGATACTTTTTATTGTTGACACGCAACAAAATTGGGTTACATAGAACCATTTTACATCTGTGAACTGCCTGTGCCTTCAAATGATCAACTGGAATCCCCTTAACGCAAAATCCCAGCTTTTTTGGATGGCACTGAAGCTACAGGAGAGGATGATATGGCTTCTGCAAACTGATCCAAAATGGGGCGCAAAAAGAGTGAACGGATGGAAAGGTTTTAGGTATACGTTCTGGAGCCTTCCTTTTTTATGTCCCCAAAGTTGATGACCCCAAATGGAGCTTAGTCTAGTAAACGTTCTAGTCCAGTCACATCCATTGTATAGATGGAAGAATTGTGAAAGGTAGCCGTTGAATATTTGGAATGAATGTTACTGTTTTCATACACAAAGCTGATGCAGATGCATTAAAAATACTTCTGGAGATGAAGATGAAGAAGAGACAGAAGAAACCTAACCTTCCAAGCACCGTGACAGAATTTGTGACCGAAGATGGCTCCAAAGTTTATGTCGTTGGCACTGCCCACTTCAGCGATAGCAGCAAAAAAGATGTAGTAAAGGTAATTATTGATATTTGGAGAGGGGTTTTAATGGATGATCTTCTGTGAAATCTTTAATATTTGTGTAAAATGCAAAGGAAGGTATTTCTTCATGGCTGAAGAGAATGTAGCTTTGTTTCATGTTTCTATCAAACCACTTTACATAGAGTATATAATCTATGCTTATATCTTTGTGGCTTTAATAAAACTTTGAAGATTAAAAGGAAGAATAGAGTGTGGAAACCTTCTGAGGACAAAAGTTCTGATACAGAAAAAATAGAATTCCTTCCTTTATATAAAGAGAAGGGTTGTTTCCTCCCTCTTTTGAAGACTTCTATAAGAACTCCAGAAAAGCTAGGGAGAAAGTTTAAAAAGGGGGGGTTGTTTAAATTATTTAAATCATTTTAATAATTTAATTATGCTCAGATATTTTAAAATTGTAAGATGCCAATATTTATATTTTTATTGCATTTTTAAAGATGTCTCTGCTGAGGTTATTCGGCACTCTAGGTATAGAACGTTGCAGGTTGGTTCTTTTTAATTTTGTCTGTAGGTTTGAGACTGAATCCATGTCTTGCAGACAATACAAGAGGTGCAGCCTGATGTGGTCGTGGTCGAGCTGTGCCAATATAGAGTTTCTATGTTAAAAATGGATGAAAGGACTTTGCTAAAGGAAGCCAAAGAGATCAATCTGGAGAAGCTTCAGCAAGCTATAAAGCAGGTATGTGTTCCTCTGTGATCAAACCCACTTATTTTGGGTGTATGAGATAATTCATTACAAACAGATACAAATCATTTCTCTAGCTTTTATCATCTGCTGCATCTGAGGCTGGTGTCGACCGCACAGTGTGATACCGACTATAGAACTCCTTTTTTAGCTTTTTTGATAGGTGTCAAAAACGTAAGTAGGTTACGTTTTTGATAGGTGTTAAAAAAGTAAGTATACGTAGCATCAGAGCACAGCTATGAATACAAGCATAAACATCCAGTTTCTTCTGGAAAGGATTGGTTGAGGTCCCATCGCTTCCAGGACCTTTTTCACACCCCCAGTCAGAACTACTTCCTTTATCTAGGTGTTTCTAACCTTAAGTCTGGGGTCAACAGAAGAGCAGTTGTCTAGCAATCACTTCACTTCTTTTTCTGTTTTCATTGCTTTTCAGAGGGGGTATGGAGGTGAATTACAGTGTTGTGCGAACAGCTAATATGGTTTGGTCCCAGTTCATCTGCTCAGACATGCTTTGAACCTTGTGCCCATTTTTATTGTTTAAAGTTGAAATGTAGGTTGGAAATGAAACAAGGAGCAGAGAGAAGAAAGACCTGTTTCTAGTGGTAGAGAAGGAAATAGTCTCCAGAGCATGCAGGGATATGAACAAGGCTCCTTTTCCCAGAATTGCATAGCAGTCATTTGATCCTGGGAGAAAAAATGCTGCTGTTTTAATGAGTTGCACGCAGAAGCTATGTTTGTACCCTCAAACTGCCTGAAACACCTCTTCCCTTTGACCCAAAAAGTTTACATAGCCCTAAAATATATAGCCTAAATAGTTTGGGGGACAGAGACCCAAATGCAGCTCAAGTAAATTTTAAAAATGCTAATTTCAATTGTGCCAACACATCCTTTTGGCAAGACAATCTAATAAATTGACACTTTGAATTGTGACTGTGTGGTGCAACTTCCAACAACAGACAGATACAGAACTAAGATATTTCTCACAACTTTGGTATAATAAATTTTATATAATATTCTTGACAGCCAAGATTTCCATATTCTAAACATTTCTTCTTGTTCCTGATTAAGTATGGACAGAGAGTGGGTGATAAGTAACTTGTGACTCAACCCTAAAGAAATAGTTTGTTTCCTGTTGCATATTATAAAACATTGCAACATTTAGAAGTTCTACAATGAATGCCTACAAAATGATGTGCCTAAAACAGGATGATTTTCTAGTCTACATTTGAAAACAGGAAATGTAATCCTTTTTTCTTTTCCTTTTTTTTCTTTTTTCTTTTTGGTGGGGTTCCTCTGTTAATAAAGAGCTCTGTTTGGTTAAAAAAACTGATTAAATATATAATAATGAAATGACTTTAGGGGAAGCTGTTTGAAGGGTTAGGATGGTCTGCTGATGCTGTTCTTTGAATATTTTAGTAATTTTCAAACTGGCAACACAGAACTTTGTTCAGTTTTTGCATATGTATGCTAACATGCATCAATGGCATTTAAAAATTCTGTCTTTAAGTACGAGTATGGTCTGATGACAAAGGAAATCAGCTGAAACCATAACATCACTAGCAAAGGAGCAACATGCTACATAGCTGTTGGAATGCTTTTTAAGTAGAAAATCAGAATTTTTAAAAAACAGATAAACCTCTTTTTGTCTTAAGTAGCAAGAAAATGAGCTGTGTGTTGTGTTTGATCTTTTAATTGCTGATTACTTTAGGAATTCTTCTTGCTGTTCTCTGACAGGGAGGTTGAAACAATAAACATTATTATGCCAGAGTGAGGCAGATAATTTTAGAACAATTTTCTTCCCTTTTGGTCCTCAAGGAAACAAATTAACAGATGACTAAAAGGCTTTTGGTAACTAATGGATTACATGTATATGTAAATGTATTATTATCATCAGCCTGAATCAAGCCACTGAAGGATGAAGGGCTCTTCACTGAATGTTATGATTCATAATCTGCCATTTTGGTCCCATGCTGGTTGGTACATAGATGGTTTTTGACTTCCTGGTCAATGGCTGAAAGAGAGTGACTGACTCAAGTCACCTAGCCAGCTGCTATGCCTAAGGGAGGACTAGACTCTGCCCCTGTGCTTCTAGTTCACCATCTTAACCACCACACTGGCTTTGTATGTTTGTGTGTATACACACACACTTTATATGTGTGTATGAAACTGTATTTCGCAGTAAGCCAGTTCCAAATGGTAGAATAGTTTTTTTCCCCCCTTTCCCGGCATAATGGATGTTTCACATGACTGTTAATGGAACTATATTTGTCTTTTCTACTATTCAATTCAAGATTAACTCATTCTTTTTTATTGGTGTCTCTTCCTCCCTCATGTTAGAATGGGCTCATGTCTGGATTGATGCAAATGCTGTTGCTGAAAGTCTCTGCACATATCACGGAACAACTAGGAATGGCTCCTGGAGGAGAATTCAGGGAAGCTTTCAAAGAGGTGCGTTTAAATAAAAATAACAATACTTTTCTCCCTGGGACAATATTGTGAATTGTGAAAGATGGGTAGCTAAAAAAAAAAAAAATGGAGATGCCAGTTTATTTCATCAGATTCTCCTGGGCCAGTTTCTAGTTTTTAAAAATGGAAAGAAATTCTGAAAAACAACAAGTGTTTTTTTAAAAAGTATCCCTCAACGTTTATGCTTCTCTTCTATAGCTTTCAATCCCAGCAGCTAGTGTCAGTGCTTCATAAGGATGATGGTTTGGTACATAGCCGAGGAATTTTACAGAGATTTCAAAATATTCTGGCATATATTATCATGTAACTGTGGCACTAAATCAGTGTTTCTCAATCTCAGCAACGTTAAGATGTATGGGCTTCAACTCCCAGGATTCTGGGAGTTGAAGTCCATATATCTTAACATTGCTGAGATTGAGAAACACTGTGCTAGATGATTACATTTAGATGGTTAGATTGCATCACAGTTGGGCCCAAACCTATCACCTTGTTTGCTCTGAAGACATGCTACTGTTCATGTTAACGTTACTTCTGTGTACTTGCTTTTAAGCCTTCCTGGAACATGAAAGCTTAGGGGAAATTGATGTAAAATGTTGGTGAAAATGGCACCCTTGAACCTATTCCAGTAATAACTGTCTAATGGATGATGACTAAAATGAGAGGCAAATGTAGGCAGCATTCAGTTTGTTTAGCCTGGACAGTGGTGTTCCCTTATAAAATTTTCAGGAATACTATTGGCATCTTGAATCCAAAGAACGTTCCAGATTCCCTGGGCTACCTGTGTCCTGATTTTGCCTCATCTTGGCAACTGAATATTGTAGTGAGATGAAGTGATCAATCCTCCCGGTATTATTGATCCCAAATATTTAAGTTCCCAGTCTAGTAGCTTCTTCAGATCATGTAGTACAAAAACAAAATATATGTTATTTTTCTTTAGTTGCCTTCTGCTGTCTGAAATCTAAAACTTTTTGGCAATTTTGAAAGTCAGAAATTATTTTAATTGCAAAAAGGAGTTATTAATTGCAAAAAATCTCAGCTCACTTCAAGACACATTCAGTGTTTTCACTTTGCCCTGGGGCTTAAGCCCCCCCAAAATTATGTTAATTTTATATCGTATAAAATCTGGCTGTTATTTGGCTGTCAGGAAGCCACATTTACAAAAAGCTTTCTCTTGAACCTGGGTTGTGGTTGGCTTGGGTGTCCTGTAGAACCAAAAATACAAACTTTTTTTTAATTATTATTATCGAACCGTGACAGGATTTTCCAGTGAGCAGCTCGTCTTTACTATAATAGAAGATAAAAACGAACAAAGATATTCACGTCAGTATTATCATACCTCCTTGCTGTATGGAAACTTATGCAGTGGCTAATCTGACTACTCTGTTGTAGGCGAGTAAAGTGCCTTTCTGCAAGTTTCATCTTGGGGATAGACCAATCCCGGTCACGTTCAAGAGAGCCATTGCTGCACTTTCTCTCTGGCAAAAAGTAAAGCTTGCTTGGGGCCTCTGTTTCCTGTCTGACCCAATCAGGTAGGCATAAGTGTGGCGATTAGTGAACAGATTGCATAGTGCTCAAGAGATGCTTGTGCAAGCATTTCTGAACTTAGTGAAAGGTTGGCTGAAGATAGCACGTCTTTAGTGCCAGTTCGGTAGCAAAACAAGGGCAAGTGTTGAGGTAGGCAGGGAAAGGTTTGCAAAACAGCTCCTTTGTAGGAATATAAATCTATTGTTTAGAATACAATATTTTATAACAGCTGCCAGAAAAAAAAAATAATGGTCCAGAGGCAGGAACAGGCACTGCATGAAAAAGGGCATATACAAAATCTTTATTCCAGCAGGAAGAGCAAAGTTCACCCGGTAAGCAGAACTTTAGAATATAAATAAAGGATTGCTATGCTGGATGACAGTGTTGTTAAGAAATCAGCATGTGAGAGAACGTTACATTCAGAGAATTTTTTTTTTTTAGAAAGGCTGTCTGAGGATTAATGTTCTACCACAAGATTAAGGAAAATTGAAATAGTAGAATGCTGCTAGCGAGCCAAATAGAAGCTATGTCTGAATTATCTTTTAACAAATTGTGGAAACCGCTGCAGAGGTTAACAAGTTGCCCTTCTTGTTTTTACTTCTGGAAAAAGAGAGTCTGTATTTAAAAAGAATTTTAACTAAAAATTAACTTAAAGCAGTACAATGTAATTAAGCATTTAAAAATATTTTGCACTAAAAGGCACAAATGGCCACTTTGTGTGATCTAATTATGTAAAGTATATTTGATAAAGCCAGCAATTTCAGCCAAAATTTCAGATTAATAAAATTTAGTTTATGGATGAAAATACCTCTATATTTTTATGTGTGCATCTATTTAGTTGAATAGGACCTTGGGCTTGTATCAATCTGAATTATATCAATCCGTCTCAAGCATCAGAATGGCTGGAGTTTTGGACTGAGGCTGATGCCTTTTAACCAATAACGCTCTTACAATTGTTTTAATTATCTGTACAGTGGTGTCTCTCAACCTTGGCCACTTTAAGATGGGTGGACTTCAACTCCCAGAAGTCCTTGCTGGCTGGGAAATTCTGGGAGTTGAGGTCCACCCATCTTAAAGTGGCCAAGGTTGAGAAACACTGCTGTACAGTATCAGCTATGTTAAAAGGGAAGCGGTGTTAAATGATGGGGAAAAAAAATCTCTAAGCACTTGCAGGGTCACCATTCATGCTCACTGAGCAATGTTCAGTGTTCTAACCTGGACAGAGTTGAGGTGGGATTTGACACAATGCAGTATCTAAACTGCTTTGAGAGCAAAGGGGAAGTCTGGTGTTTGAGCAGCCTCCGCAGGAAACTCAAAAACGATGGCAGGGACACGCTGGGCCCTGATCTGAATTGCAGCCATACGTATTTGCATGCTGACATCTGATGCAGTATTTGCAGTATTTGTGTCCCAGTGCATCTTTTTTCAGCTGCTGCCCTGTGGATGCCTCTGGCTGTTATCAACCCAAAACTTCATCTCATTTCTTGCTGTGCTTGTGTAACTCTGAATCTGACAGTCGAGAAATTCTTCCGTCACAAGGAGCTTAAATAGCAAACCAGCCCCAGTGGAACCCTATCTTGGCTGTGTGCTGATATTGGAATAATTGTGAAATAAAGTCTAATTGCTAAGGAATTGTGGCTGGTGTGCCCCTTCTTGGCGTCCCAGCAGCGTCAAGTCTTCAGTTGTATCACGTGCGACACAAAACTAACAGCCGAGCAAGGCTAAATTTCTCTCCAAAGGAACGATATCTTATAATTAGAATGTGTTTTGTATCCTTTTACTTATCTACACCTCCCACTCGCTCTGTGAGCATAGTAAGATAACAGCCGCTTTATTATTTTTCGGTTGCCCGTTCTTGGCAATAGAGATGCCTCCCAAGTTTGTTTACAACTGTGGTTGCAGCCAGCAATTCTGGCCCAACTTGCTTCAGATTTGAGCCAGATTTCAACTGTATGCAAAGAATGCGCACAACATTTTTCATACAGTTTTTCAAAGGATTTTCTTTTTGTTTTTCTTGCAGGAAGATATTACATAAATTTAGGTTATATTACTACCACCATAGTTAAAGCATATTTTTCCACAGTTGTGATGTCCAGATTGTATTGCACACTATTGAAAGGGGAGGATTCTTGCAAGTTCAAGCATTCAGATGTGAATGGCAAAGCGTTCAATGTTTTCTTCGTAATCTCATCATTGCATTGCAGTTATTACTGCTCAATCTAATAGTGTTTCTCAACCTTGGCAACTTTAAGATAGGTGGACTCCAACTCCCAGAATTCCCCAGCCAGTGTGGCTGGCTGGGGGAT